CACATGTGTGTGCACACTTGCACATGCACACACAGTATCTGGCAGTGCCCTGCACCCGTAGGTGCTCATGGACTGTTCAAGGATGGAGGGAAGGAAGGAGGGCGCTGCTGGGGTCTGTGGTGCTGAAGCTGGGCCCTGCACTGCCTGCTTGCTGCCTCAGGGCTGGCTCTGGGGGAGCGATGGTGAGGCAGGGCTGGTCCTCATTCCTCCACCCACAGGCACGGCCTCCAGCACTTCTTCTCCTGCCGAGGCATCGCCATGGCAGTGCAGTACTTCTGGAACCGTGGACACCGAGAGGTCACTGTGTTTGTACCCACCTGGCAGCTGAAGAAGAACCGGAGGGTGAGAGGTGAGACATCCGCTGCCCTCCCAGTCTCTCCAGACTCACCGGGCCTTTCTTCTCTTTGCCTTCCTGCTCCTGCCTTGGCCTTTGCCACCCAGCCCTTCCTCTGACTATCTCTGTCTTCTGCCTTCACCCCAGAGAGCCACTTTCTGACGAAGCTACACTCGCTCAAGATGCTTTCCATCACCCCCTCCCAGCTGGAGAACGGCAAGAAGATCACCACCTATGACTACAGGTGCGCCAGCCCTCAGCCCTCAGCTATCTCCCTGCTGGGCTCTGGGGGAGCGGCGGGCTGGCGTGTGGGAGGTCCTGTCCCATGTTCTGTGGGGGAAATGGAGGCAAACGTAGGGGGTGCGTAGGGGGTGCGTCAGAGAGGATGGGCGGGGCACAGGCCTTCCTGCAGACAGAGGGAATGACCTAAGTCACAGGGGGCTCAAGCCCAGGGGCTGTTCTTGACTTTGGGACTCTGGAGCTCTGATTCCCTTAGCTAACAGGCTGTCTCCCCCATGACCTATTGGCCGACACCTATTTGGGATTCAGCTAGGGCACGTGACTCCTAATGCTTTGAGTTAGTGTCAGAGGGATCCCAAGCTTTTGGGTGCCAGCTCAGGTTGAAGTTCATGTCTGAAGGAACTGTTTTCATCTTTTCCTCCCTCAAAACCCTGGCACTGGGAGGAGGTATGTGTGTGGCAGTACACAGAGCCGGGGCAGGGCTCTGGAATTGGAGCTATCCCGGCCTGGCCCACCTGTACCCCAAATGCCTCACTGCTCGTCAATCCCAAGCATCCACTCCCCAGCGTGGCTGCAGGGTCAGCGTGCAGAGTGACCAGTGACCCTGCGGCTGTGAGGGCAGACCAGGCCTTGTCGTAGGCACTGGTCCTGGGCTGGAGTTCATGTCAGGCAGACAGAGGTCTTGGCTTCACTTAGGCACCTCATACTGGGCAGGGAGAAATGATTTCTCCCCACTTTTCACAAGTTCTGGCATCTGTCCAGCCTTTAAGCCTGCGAAGGGCTGGGTAGGGCAATTCAGGCATTCCTCCCTGAGTAGGATCTAAGTGCATCTAAATTCAGGCCCTGAGGGGGACGGCTTTTCAGCAGAAGTCCCCTCTGCTGGGCACTCATGGAATAGCACAGTTGGCCTCCAGGGAAAGCTGCAACGTAGGTAGCCTTTGTTTCTTTCCTGGTCACAGCTCTCTTAGAGGAGAGGTGGTTCTGGGAGAAATGGACTTGGTTTTTCAGGTATGTGACTTCTGTGTGTTAGCATAAATGTGTGCTGTTGGCATATATAGGAATACTGTGCATTGGTGACGAGTAACACCAATATGTGTGTATGCTGTGGCAGGCAGTTAGCTGGACATGCACACGCTTGATCTCGTTCAGTGTAATCCTCACAGCAGGGTGGGGTAGGTATTCGGTCCCCATCACACCCACGGGAAAATGGAAGCAGTGAGTGTGCCTGTGTGAAAGGGGACGAGTATGTGGGCTTCTGTGTCTGTGCATACGTATATGCGTGTGTGTAATAGGGGTATGCATTTGTATATGCAGCTGGGGGTGTGTGCACCCATGTTCACCCACCCAGGGGACTACCGGTGACCCCAGATAATTGCACAGAGGAGGAACTGGGCTCCGGGACCTGGCTCCCTGAGTATGCAGGACTGTTTCTGTCTGACATACCTTGATATGAAGCTGCAGGTTCATTTCCCCAGAGGGCCCAAGAAGCGAAGGGGCTGGTTACTGCACCTTTAGTCACGACCCCCTCCCTGCAGGTTCATGGTGAAGCTGGCAGAAGAGACAGATGGCATCATTGTCACCAACGAGCAGATTCATGTCCTGATGAATAATTCCAAGAAACTGATGGTCAAAGATCGGTGAGGTGGCTCTCCTGGGGCTCGAGCTGTTCCTTCCCCTGGGATGTCAGGCAGCCCTTGGCAGGAGAGATGTTGGGGCAGAGGAGGGACCTTGGAGTAGAGCTCACCAGCACGTGTTGGGTGTGGGGTCTCTGCCGCAAGGGATGCCAGGGAGTAGAGGGCATGGGGGTTGAGGGCCCATTCAGACTGTGCCTCTCCCCTCTGGGTCTAGCCTGCTGCCCTTTACCTTTGCGGGGAATCTCTTCATGGTGCCAGATGACCCTCTGGGCCGTGACGGCCCCACCTTGGATGAGTTTCTGAAGAAGCCAAACAGGTAAGTGTTGGTCAGGCCACCCCTGCCTCTCAGGGCCTTTGGGACTGACTGGAAACTTCCTCTTAGTGCTAGGCAGCCTCCATCTAGTGCATAATACCAAGCAGAGGAATCTGATTTTGTTACATTTTTATACTTCACGTATACTTTATACTAATCATTTATGCATCTATAAACCACTTTCGACATGGTTTTGCAGTTTTACATTCTTTAATACCATATGAGGGTGCTTTAAACAAGCTTTTGGACAAATAAACTTAAATGAACTTAAAGTATGAGTTTATTTTGATGCAAAAATTTCAAAATCTGTGCACGAGTTTTTCATAGCACACGTTTTCCACGAACTTTGTGAAGACACCGCCTCCATGTCTACCCTTCCACAGCTGGCCTTTGTACTCAACCCTTCACTCCTTTTTTCAGATGTCTGCCATGCTAACTCATGAAACGACTTTAACCGCCATATAGCACATGAGTACCCAACACTTCCCCTCGTTCTCTTATTGAGAGCCTTTTGACTTGTTTTTAATAATAATTTATTTAATTTTATTTATTATTATTTTAGTATGTATGCTCTCACCAGAGACAGAGAGAGAGAGAGAGAGAGAGACAAAGTGAGAAAGCAAGCCACCAGGTAAGCTGCAACGTAGGTAGCCTTTGTTTCTTTCCTGGTCACAGCTCTCTTAGAGGAGAGGTGGTTCTGGGAGAAATGGACTTGGTTTTTCAGGTATGTGACTTCTGTGTGTTAGCATAAATGTGTGCTGTTGGCATATATAGGAATACTGTGCATTGGTGACGAGTAACACCAATATGTGTGTATGCTGTGGCAGGCAGTTAGCTGGACATGCACACGCTTGATCTCGTTCAGTGTAATCCTCACAGCAGGGTGGGGTAGGTATTCGGTCCCCATCACACCCACGGGAAAATGGAAGCAGTGAGTGTGCCTGTGTGAAAGGGGACGAGTATGTGGGCTTCTGTGTCTGTGCATACGTATATGCGTGTGTGTAATAGGGGTATGCATTTGTATATGCAGCTGGGGGTGTGTGCACCCATGTTCACCCACCCAGGGGACTACCGGTGACCCCAGATAATTGCACAGAGGAGGAACTGGGCTCCGGGACCTGGCTCCCTGAGTATGCAGGACTGTTTCTGTCTGACATACCTTGATATGAAGCTGCAGGTTCATTTCCCCAGAGGGCCCAAGAAGCGAAGGGGCTGGTTACTGCACCTTTAGTCACGACCCCCTCCCTGCAGGTTCATGGTGAAGCTGGCAGAAGAGACAGATGGCATCATTGTCACCAACGAGCAGATTCATGTCCTGATGAATAATTCCAAGAAACTGATGGTCAAAGATCGGTGAGGTGGCTCTCCTGGGGCTCGAGCTGTTCCTTCCCCTGGGATGTCAGGCAGCCCTTGGCAGGAGAGATGTTGGGGCAGAGGAGGGACCTTGGAGTAGAGCTCACCAGCACGTGTTGGGTGTGGGGTCTCTGCCGCAAGGGATGCCAGGGAGTAGAGGGCATGGGGGTTGAGGGCCCATTCAGACTGTGCCTCTCCCCTCTGGGTCTAGCCTGCTGCCCTTTACCTTTGCGGGGAATCTCTTCATGGTGCCAGATGACCCTCTGGGCCGTGACGGCCCCACCTTGGATGAGTTTCTGAAGAAGCCAAACAGGTAAGTGTTGGTCAGGCCACCCCTGCCTCTCAGGGCCTTTGGGACTGACTGGAAACTTCCTCTTAGTGCTAGGCAGCCTCCATCTAGTGCATAATACCAAGCAGAGGAATCTGATTTTGTTACATTTTTATACTTCACGTATACTTTATACTAATCATTTATGCATCTATAAACCACTTTCGACATGGTTTTGCAGTTTTACATTCTTTACTACCATATGAGGGTGCTTTAAACAAGCTTTTGGACAAATAAACTTAAATGAACTTAAAGTATGAGTTTATTTTGATGCAAAAATTTCAAAATCTGTGCACGAGTTTTTCATAGCACACGTTTTCCACGAACTTTGTGAAGACACCGCCTCCATGTCTACCCTTCCACAGCTGGCCTTTGTACTCAACCCTTCACTCCTTTTTTCAGATGTCTGCCATGCTAACTCATGAAACGACTTTAACCGCCATATAGCACATGAGTACCCAACACTTCCCCTCGTTCTCTTATTGAGAGCCTTTTGACTTGTTTTTAATAATAATTTATTTAATTTTATTTATTATTATTTTAGTATGTATGCTCTCACCAGAGACAGAGAGAGAGAGAGAGAGAGAGACAAAGTGAGAAAGCAAGCCACCAGGTTCGGGACTTGAACTATAGTTGGCCATGTGGGAGTCCAGCACCTTAACTACCACACTATCTGCTGGCCATGACTTCTGTTTTATGCCAGCACTGTGGTCCATAGCCTTGCTCTTGTTCCGTTTGTCCAATAGAAGCTGTATCTAGAGCACATGCTACATACATTTTTTTCCATAAAATCTCCTCTGATCCTCACAATTTGAGTTGCACATAATTGATATTGTCCTCGTTTTATAGAGGGGGATCTGAGACTCAAGTGGCTTTCCAAGGCTGCTTTGCTGATGCCGGCACAACTGGTTTAGAATAGCTCACATCCTCTGGCCTGCACCCTCTCAGGCCACCTTGCTGTGCATGTCAGTATCTTGGGCCCAGTAAGGGACCTTGGTTGGGACCTTCCGGGCCAGGCCCTGCTTCCTGGGTTAGGTCTCCCAGGCTCTTTTCCCCAGTTTGGAAAAGACAGTGAAGACAAGCTTTATCGCCTGTGTCTTCTGAAGACCCATATCAGGCCTCCCTGCCTTCCTTGATCTCCTCCTAGATTGTCCTAAGGTCAGGTTGGAAGCTACCAGACATCTCTTAGGAAGCCACTGGCTTCAAACTGGTTTAAATGCTGCTTGGACAGTGAGGGTTTGATGTAAGCCTGCATGGCATGGAGGGATCTACCTATGTAGGTCCTGGCTCACGCGGGAGGCAGAGGAAGTGTCTGTAGGTGGGGCTGACTGAGCCTGTGCCATGTAGGAGGCTGGCACTCAGCCCACCTCAGGGACATTTAAGAATGGATGGGCTCTGGAGGGTCTCTGTAGATACGGCTTTCCCCTTGGGTGACCTCTTGGGTGCGGCTGCCCCTCTCCCCTCTGTGCTGGTGTAGGTTGCACACGGACGTTGGCAACTTCCTGAAGGTGTGGAAGACCCTTCCTCCCAGCTCTGCCAACATCTCTGAGTTGAGGGATGATGCTAACCCTGGGCCTCTGGAGAATCTGCAGAATGTGGAAGAAGTCAGAGAGGAAAAGCAGGAGAGGTGGGACAAGGAGCAGAGAGTTGGGCAGGGGACGCAGAAGCCAGCTGAGGAGGAAGACCTCAATTCTTCCCTGGCATCAGTGTTACAAGTCGAGTGCCCTTCCCTTTCTGAGGAGATCCTGCGGTGCCTCAGCCTCCACGACCCACCCGACGGGGCCCTCGACATTGATCTCCTGCCAGGGGTGACCTCTCCCTCCCTGGGCATCCCCTGGGATGGGGAGGCTCCCTGCCAGCAGGTACTTGCCCTGTTGGCCCAGCTGACCCTCCCCAGCAACTTCACTGCCCTCTCCTTCTTTGTGGGCTTCATGGACTCCCACCGAGATGTCATCCCTGACTATGAGGCCCTCGTGGGCCCCCTGCACAGCCTCCTCAAGCAGAAGCCGGACTGGCAGTGGGATCAGGAGCATGAGAAGGCCTTCCTGGCCCTGAAGCGAGCTCTGGTGTCCGCCCTCTGCCTGATGGCCCCCGACTCACAGCTGCCCTTCCGCTTGGAGGTGATGGTGAGCCAAGTGGCCCTGACGGCCATCCTTCATCAAGAGCACTCAGGCAGGAAGCACCCCATAGCCTATACCTCAAAACCCCTCCTTCCTGATGAGGAGGGCCAGGGTCCCCAGTCAGGGGGAGACAGCCCCTATGCTGTGGCCTGGGCTCTCAAACATTTTTCCCGCTGCATTGGAGACACCCCTGTGGTCCTGGACCTTTCCTACGCCTCCCGGACCTCTGCAGATGCGGAGGCACGAGAGGGCCGCAGGGTTTCCAAGGCATGGCTGATCCGATGGTCCCTCTTGGTCCAGGACAAAGGAAAGAGGGCCCTGGAGTTGGCCCTTCTCCAGGGCCTGCTGGGGGAAAATCGACTGCTGACACCTGTGTCCTCCATGCCTCGTTTCTTCCAGGTTCTGCCCCCTTTCTCTGACCTGTCCACGTTCATCTGCATCCACATGTCGGGCTATTGCTTTTACCGAGAGGAAGAGTGGTGCGCTGGCTTTGGGCTTTACGTTCTTTCTCCCACCAGCCCCCCTGTCTCCCTTTCCTTCTCTTGCTCCCCGTACACACCAACCTACGCCCACCTGGCAGCCGTGGCCTGTGGCCTGGAGCGCTTTGGCCAGTCTCACCTCCCGGTGGTTTTCCTCACCCACTGCCACTGGATCTTCAGTCTCCTCTGGGAGCTCCTGCCCCTCTGGAGGGCTCGGGGCTTCCTGTCCTCTGACGGGGCTCCTCTACCTCACCCAAGTCTACTCTCCTACATCATATCCCTCACCTCGGGTCTCTCTGCCCTCCCCTTTATCTACCGAACTTCCTACCGGGGCTCTCTGTTTGCTGTGACGGTGGACACCCTGGCCAAGCAGGGCGCTCAGGGGGGCGGGCAGTGGTGGAATTTGCCAAATGACGTGCCAGTCCCTGTAGTGACTCCCCGTGCGATGAGCAGGAGGCCCAACTTGCTGGCCTTACAGCTGAGTGACAGCACCTTGGCCGATATCATTGCCAAGCTGCAGGCTGGACAGAAACTGTCCGGCTCCTCGCCCTTCAGTTCTGCCTTTAACTCGCTCAGCATCGACCAGGAGACTGGCTTGCTTATGTTCAAGGGCGATAAGAAGCCCAGAGTCTGGGTCGTCCCGAGGCAGCTCCGGAGGGACCTGATTTTCTCTGTGCATGACATCCCCATGGGAGCCCACCAGAGGCCTGAGGAGACGTACAAGAAGTTGCGGTTACTGGGGTGGTGGCCTGGGATGCAGGAGCATGTGAAGGATTACTGTAGGAGCTGCTTGTTCTGCATCCCCCGGAATCTCACAGGCAGTGAGATGAAGGTTATTGAGTCCCTGTGGCCCCTCAGGTCAACTGCGCCCTGGTCGAACCTGCAGATTGAGGTGGTGGGCCCTGTCACCATAAGTGAGGAGGGCCACAAACACGTGCTTATTGTGGCCGACCCCAACACCAGGTGGGTGGAGGCATTCCCACTGAAGCCCTACACGCACATGGCTGTGGCCCAAGTGCTGCTACAGCATGTGTTCGCAAGGTGGGGTGTCCCTGTGAGGCTGGAGGCAGCCCAGGGTCCCCAGTTTGCCCGACATGTCCTGGTGAGCTGTGGACTGGCCCTGGGAGCCCAGGTGACCTCCCTGAGCAGGGACCTCCAGTTCCCCTGCCTGATGAGCTCAGGAGCCTACTGGGAATTCAAAAGGGCCCTCAAGGAGTTCATCTTCCTTCATGGGAAGAAGTGGGCTGCCTCCCTCCCCTTGCTGCACCTGGCCTTCAGGGCCTCCTCCACCGAGGCCTCGCCCTTCCAGGTCCTGACCGGGAGTGAGGCAAGGCTGTCGGAGCCGCTGTGGTGGGAGATGAGCAGTGCGAACATCGAAGGGCTCCAGATGGATGGCTTCCTGCTGCAGCTGGTTGGGGAGCTGCTCGAGCTGCACTGGAGGGTGGCTGACAAGGCCAGCGAAAAGGCCGAGAACAGGCGTTTCAAGCGGGAGAGCCAGGAGAAGGAGTGGAACGTGGGTGACCAAGTCCTCTTGCTGTCCCTCCCCAGGAATGGCAGCAGTGCCAAATGGGTGGGTCCTTTCTACATCGGGGACCGGCTGAGCCTGTCTCTCTATAGGGTGTGGGGCTTCCCGACCCCAGAGAAGCTGGGGTGCATCTATCCCAGCAGTCTGATGAAGGCCTTTGCCAAGAGTGGCACACCCCTGTCCTTCAAGGTCTTGGAGCAGTGAGCTGAAGTGGTGGGGGTGCCCTGCCCCAGGCTGCTGGTTGCTGCTGCTAGGCCCTCTACCTCCCGCAGTGCAGGGCCCCGTGGGGGCCTGCAGTTGTGCCTTTTGTGAAGTTGCTTCATAAAGCTTTGCTGAATTGCCTTGAACTATAGACCAGTGTTGCTGTGGAAACATCCCCATGTTGCGGTATTTGGAGAGCTGGCCAAAGGCTGTCAGATATGGACCTCTGGCAGTTTTATACTGGGGGGGCGGGAGGTGGAAAGTCCTCTTCCCTAAGGAGGCCAAGCTCAATGTCCTTTCTCTAAGTCTTTCCCCCCTTCGTACTGTGCAGGTGTGTGGTGGTGTGCACACTCCAGAATTTTACTGTTTTAACCATAAAACTGTGTGGCTTTGGTTCTCAGAATTGGAGCCATAGTCCTTTCCCAAACAGGAACCTCAAATGTGGGCTCCACCCCCCAACCTGCTCATCTGGAGACCCTTTGCCTTGAGGCTTATCAGAGCTGACACAAAGGTATGGAGGCTGTGGGGAGGCAGCTGCCTCCCTAGACCCTGGTCAGCTTCCTTAGGCCAGGCTTAGCCTGCCTAGCTGTCCAGGAAGGGCCGACAGTCCTGGGCCCTAGGGCTGTGTCTCAGCATGGGAGGATGCCAGCTACAAGCCATGCACTTGTCAGCATGGGACGGGCAAGGGGCAATGAGTTGGCCTACCTCATTTGACTCCAGCCCACGGAGACAAGTCCTGACCCACAGGAATCAAGGATCTTGATGCCGAGTGTGGCATCTCTATGGAAAAGCTGCTTTTACTAGACCAAGGGGCCCTGGCCTCTGTTCCCAGTGGGGAGGGCGTCTGGAACGAGCAGTCTGGCACACTGGTGCTGGTGTGGCTCTACCTCCCAACCCCTCCCAACCTCACCCCAAGGCCCACAGCCCTTCACTGTACCCCACATCCCTAGACCCTCTAGAGTGTGATTGCTTTGTCTGGATCACCCCCTGACCTCTGGACCTGCCTTCTGTGTAGAGCAAATCCCAGGCCCCCCTCAGAGACTCCTGCAGAGATCACTCCTGTCGTGAGAGACTCGAGGAAGTGTGTGCCTAGACCCGGGCCCCTGGATTGCGGCTGCCACCCTACAAGTGGACTCTAGGCAGAGAGGCCAGCACCAAGTCACTGTCTGAGCAGTTTAGTTTCTCTGGAAGCTGAGCGTCTCCTGGCCTAGCTCAGGTTGCCAGAATACTTGGCATTGTAGAGTGCTAGAGCCGTGGGAGAACTTGTCATTGAGTCCAACTTGCTTATTTTACAGCAGGGGAAAGGCCCCGAGAGGGAAAATGACATTCCCAATGTCACACAGCTAATTTGTGGCTGAGTTAGGATAAGGATTAAGCTTCCCGACTTCTAGTTCACTATGAAAAAGGTTCTGGCAACAAGTTTAAGCTAGAGAACCCTTCGAAGTTTTGTACCCACATTGCCTCCGACTCCCCATTTCCCAAACCTAAACTACCTGATGTCCTTAAACCATTCCTGGCTGTATCCCTGTCCAAGAAAGAAAGACTGGGTGACAGCTGAGAAATCGAAAGGTGAGCTGTGGATCGTTAGCAGAGACTCCCATTCCTCCACCCTCCTTCCTCTCTCCTATTAATGGTCTGTGGCTCCTCGACACCCCTGACCTCGTGCTGTATGTGTTCCCCTGTAACCACATTTATGATCTTACACCTTCCTTTTAAGTAAACTTTTTTTTTTCATTTGATTTGTCAATAAACAGATCAAACTGGAGTCAATGTCCAGTTCTTTTTTTAGCTTCAGACTCAATGATGGGAGCGAGGTAGGTAAGGGCAGCCTTGGGGTGAGGCGTGTGTCCCAGACAGACATGCAGGGGCTTTGATATTTTAGGTTTTTGCCATAGGTTTGGGTTAGGACTAGGTTTGTGCTCACCAGAGAGGGACAAAGAGAGAGAGAGAATGAGAAATCACCTCTCAAGGGGATGGCCATACCACAGTCCCTTCTCCTCCATTCTCCTCTGGGTTTGGGGCATATACTCACGTGTGCCTGGCATGGTTTTCAAGCCGCCAGCTCCAGGACTTGAACTGCAGTCAACCATGTTGAAGCCTAGTGCCTTAATAACAATGCCACCTGCTCTCCCCCACCCCCTCCACCAGACATGCAGATTTCAAGGCCTAGAGAGAACCTTCTCAAGACCATTTGGCTCTAGCTCTTGTGCAGATGAGCGTTAGGGTAATCTGTGTTGTGGGCGTGAAAGAATTCATAGACCCAGAAAGTGGATAGAAAAGGTTTATTCACTTTGCAAAGGGAGAAAAGGGGCCAGGCACAGTTGAGTGGGGTTAATGATTTTTTTAAAGGAAAGTGATTAAGGCTGGGGCAATTAAGGTGAGTCAGCCTTCTGCAGTAAAATGAAGCAGTCCCCCGCCCCCCCTTTCTTCCCTCCTTTCAGGTGGAAATCGTCCTCTGATCCCAAGGAATTCCCTGTTGAGGTATATCTGCTCCCCCAGGACCAATCAGGCCAGCTCTGACCCTTTAGACATTCTCCCTGCCAACGTGCTCAAGGCTGACGAGCCTCTGTCTTTTCTCTAGCAAAGCCCAAGATAGATAAATATCCAAGAGTTGATCCCTACCTAGGAAAGAAAATGCCTGAGGCATCTGGGGAGCTTTGACTATGCCTTTCCCATTAAAATGCCCACGACATCTGGGAGGTACTGATTATGCCTTTTCAATGATGGCAAACCTGGGGAGAGCCTTGCCTCTAGGTTTCCAAGCTGTGCTCTTTTCAGGACAGGTCCTGGAAGTGGATGGGAATGAAGAGGAATGACTCCTGGCCCACGAGAATGGCGTTAGTGCTGAACCAGCTTAGTTGTGTTGAAAATAGGATAAGCTAGGTTTGAATTCTGACTCCATATTTGCTACCTATGTGGCTTGTTTCCCAAGGCTTCAGTTTTCCTATCTATAAGATGCAGGGCACCAATTCCTAAATTGTGGGATGGAGTGAGGATTACATGTGTGAAGAGGCCAGAATGGTTCCGAGGACAGAGTAAGCATCACTATGTGCTATAATGAGATAGAAGTTAGATATACTTACAGGTAGATAGGGTAAGGGCCCCCAAAGGAAATCACTGATTTTCTTTTTAATGAACTCTCTGTTTTTTTCTCTATGGTATGAATATACAATATACGTCCCTTTTCCATGTCTCTAAAGAATTTTATGACTCCTTGCTAATAAGGCAGGAGATGGTGTTATTAAGCACACAGACAGGGTAAGACCAAGATGGAGTCACAGTGGCTAAATTGTCACAGCCAAAAACTGGCTGTATTGGGACTTAAAGTCACTGTAGCTAAGGACAACAGTTTTTATTGGGTCATTGTAAAGTACGGACTATTTTTCTATACAAATGCTTAGTAACTGTAGTCTAGTGAGAAGTACAGAACGCTATGGTTTGTTGACCCCACCAAGAATAAGGTAATGTCACTCAGACTACCCTGTAACTATTTTCTTTGGTTCATTTCCTTATCAGAGAGCCAGTCCATTGCTCAGGATATTAAATAAAAGCCCTTGCCTCCAGCTCTTCTTGGGTATTTGGGACCCCTCCCTGCTTGGGAGCTCTGTTCTTCCTTCCCTCTCCTAATGAAGTCTGATGTATTCCCCTTCTATGTCTGCATCTCTAATCCTTCATGAGTGATGGATAAGAGCCAGCATGAGTGTGGGTCTGATCACCCAGCACTCCTGCATCACTAACACTACTCTCTTTTCTGCCCCAGAAACTCTCGAAGTCATCCCCGCTCAGGCTCAGAGACCTCCTTAACCCTGGCCACACAGCATGACTAGGCTTTTCCTTGCCACCTTTTTGACCCGACCACTCCTGCTCAGTAACTGTTCTTACTGAGAACCCAGCTCATGTGCATGACATCATCATTTGGTATTTACAGAGCACCTCCTATATGCCAGGCTCTGTCCCAGAGTGGGGCAGATAACAGGAAATGGGAGTGATATGGTCTCTGCCCCTTTGGAATCCATCGTCAGGTGAGGGAGACAGTCTGGCCAACAAATACAGTGCAGGGTGGTAAGGGAAACAGTGTGACCTAGAGGCCCGGGGTCTCAGCTTGCACACCATTGAGAGAGAACTTCCCTGGGCCCCTTCACCAAATGTAATGCACACATTCCTGGTACAGGCCAGTTAGCAAAAGGCTCAGAACTGTTTTTATTTTTTAGTTTTGGCTATAGGATGTGTATGCTTGGGACGAGCAGTTAGCGTAATGGCTATGTCGCTGGACTCCCACGTAGTCGACCGCGGTTCTCGTCCCGGACCCGGTGGCTTAAACTCACGCCGGGCGTGTGTGCGTGCGTGCCCAAGATCCCTAGAGAAGAATGGAGGAGAGGGGATTGCGGTGTGGCCATCCCCCCTGGGGGGTGATTTCTCGCTTTCTGTCTCTCTGTCTGTCTGGCGAGCGCACGCTCCCTATAGCAAAAACCTCTCCAAAAAAAAAAAAAAAAAGATGTGTGTGCTTGCCAGAGACACACACACACAGAGAAAGACACAGAACGAAAGTGCTAAATCACCTCCTGCCCCAGGGGATGGCCATGCAACAATTCCTTCTCCTCCTTTCTTCTCTTGGACCACTCTGCCTTGCTGTGCCATCTTCCCTAGCAACCATGCACTAAGTCTTGGTGCTCAGGAACAAAAGTGAACACACTTGGGGGCCAGCAGGTGGTGTAGTGGCTAAGATGCTGAACGCTATTCAAGTCTGGGACCTGGCAGCTTGCTTTCTCACTACCCACCCCGATGCTCCCTCTCTCTCTGTGTTGACTGGATGAGCCCAATAGCAAATTAAAATAATAATAATAGTAATGATAATAAATTAAATTAAATACATAATTCTAAAAATAAAAGTGAACACGCCTGGAAGACAGAAGCATTGTAACGGGTAAATGACCACAATAAAACAAAATGAAGCTCCCACCTGCCTTTGTAAGTTTGTCCAAGAATCTCTAGTACGTACGAGTTTTAACTTGTTTCAGTATATTGTAACGGTCACCTGCATATACAAGTCCTTGCTCTGTGCCAGGCACGGGCTTAGAACACTAAGTGCCTTCCCGTTCTGTGTGGGAGATGCAATTGGTATCTCCATTTCACAGACGAAGGAAGTCAGGCATGCCTAGGTGAGACTTACCGAAGGGCACCCACAGCTACTGAGAGGCTGGAATGGAGGCTGAAGCCGTGTCACCCATCTTACTCATGACACTGCAGGTATATTTACTTTGTTGTTAGAATACTCTCCCCACCCCCACTCCCCATGCACATATAATCTATGGCCTGTCTCTTATGAATGTATTGCATAGTATCAGGTTTCCCTATTTCATTTTGGCTCAGATTAAGATGATGCAGAAATTAAAATCTTGATTTATTTCCTCTGGGTCCCATAACTATTCCCTTGTTCCTGGTAAGTTTCAACTCAAATGCTGTACTCTCTCCTTCCAAGGAAGTGCCTATATGTGTGTGTTTATATGTGTATAAAATTTATTCACTTATTTATTTAGAGAGAGATTTTTGCTAGAGGGCATGTGCACTCTTTGGAGAGACAGAGACAGAAGCAAGAAATCACTCCCCCGGGGTGGGGGTGATGGCCATGCTGCAATCTCTTCCCTTCCATTTTCCTCTCAGGATTTTGGGCATGCATGCTCATGATCCTGGTGTGAGTTTTAAACCACAGGGCCTGGGACTTGAACCATGGTGGACAACATGGGAGTCCAGTGATGTAGCCATTATGCCATCTACTGGTTCCTCACTATTTGTTGAGAAATGGAGGGAGAGAGAGTGAATATCCAGCAGCTTCTCAGTGCCAAAACCCACCCCAGGCTCAGTCAGCTTGGATCATAGGCACATGTGAGACCTCAGGGAGGTCTCTGGTTGCAAACCTAGAATTGTCCCATGTGGTCAGCTTTCCAGAGCATCATGGCTCAGAGCTATGATGGCGTTGTCTCAGCCTCAGAAGTGCCATTTTACCTCACCTAATAAATGGTGGAATTTCTTAGCCTCCCTCCTGCCCCGTTCTTCTAGATGGTGAGAAATGAAGCAGTAGGGATTGCAGCAGCTGGATTTTGAAAGACCTTGCAAACTCTGTGATGAAATACAGATTTCAATCTGAGGCCCAATGGGAGACCCTAAAGGCTTTTAGAGAGTGGAGTTCAAGTAGATAGACAACTGTGGCAGTAAGGAGATGAGTGAAGGGAGGAAAACTGGAGGCTAAGAGGCCAGGTAGGAAGCCTTTATAGAAACCTAGCTGATAAATTGGTAGTTTGAACCAGGGTAGATGGAGAACTATGTCTGGAATTGATGCATGTGAATGTGAGGATATGGTTTGTATTTGAAGTGTGCAAAATCCAACTTCCATTTACAGACACAGAAAACAAGAAAAGGAAAAGAGATTTAGGGAGGAAAGGCTATGATTTCAGGTTCTAGTATATTGACTTTGAGGTGAAGTAATCAAAGTAAGTCTGAGGTTTAGAGAGAGATTATGGAAAGAGATAATACGAGGGTGGTCAACATATGGATGAGTGGACATCTGTGGTGTTTAGGACTGGAGAAATTCTAGGGCAGAACCCTGAGGAAGACTGAGATTTAAGAGATGGGTGGACGGTGGGGACCCTGTAAAGGAAGTTGGAGCATGGGGCACAGAGGTGGATGGAAAGCCAGGGACCCTGTGAACAGGGAAGGTGGGGCAGAAAGTGCTTCTTGGAGGGTGTAGTCATCTGGGTCAAATGTTAGGGACAACTTGAGTCACAGGAGAACTAGGGAGTGTCTGTGGACATAGTAACAGGTGAGCTGAGAGTAACTGCTGACGGCAGTGTAGGTGGAGCAGTGAGAGCCATGGTTGACCAGTGATTGAAAGGTGAGCAGCTGCTGAATATAGACATTTATATTAAGAAATTTGGCTCCAAAGGAAAGGCAAAATGATGCTAACTAGCTATAGGGCACACAGAGCTGAGAAGAACGATACATGTGCACATACACACACAGGTTTTTTTTCTTTTATATATTCAATCACTGTACATCACAACAGCTAGTAAAATGAATATTCCCAGCATAAATACACTATACACCAGTCCAGTGGAAGATATTGTTGTACGCATTATCATCAAAAGACAATCGTCCATTTCTGTATCCCTTAAGTGTCTTGTCTATTTTTCTCCTTGATTCCCTTCCTCTCACCCTCCTTCGGCACTGTCTCCAGTATCTATAACATTCTCCATGCTTCTGTATCTTTTCTGTATTTTTCAGTTTTGGACATTGAGTGTGGACATTTAGTATATGTTAAGTGGGGACATACAATGTCTCTCTCTCATAGTCTGGCTTGCTTTACTCAGCAGTAAATCTTCCACATTTGTCCACTTTTTATCAAAAGAAATTTTTTTATGGCTGGATAGTATCCCATAATGTATATGTACCACCATTTGTTTTTTAAGAGGGACTTTTTTTTTTTTTTGCTATAGGGTGCATGCGTTCACTGGTGAGACAGAGAGAGAGAGTGAAAGTGAGGGATATCCCCCCAGAGGGATAGCCGCACTTCAATCCCTTCTCCTCCTGGGATTTGGGACATGCAGGAAAACACACTTGAAACCAGAGTTTCAAGCTTCTGGGTTTGGGTCTCGAACCAAAGTTGGTCATCTGGGAGTTCAGTGCTTTAATCACTATGTTACCCACTGGATACACACACACACACACACACACACACAGAGTTTTTCTATAGGACACATGTGCTCAGTGGGGAGACACAGAGGTGTTGACTATGCCTTCACAACAGAGAGAGAGAGAGGAAAAGTCAGAAATCATCCCTCTCCCCCCTGGGGATAGCCATACTGTAATCCTTTCTCCCCTTCTCCTCTTGGGATTTTGGGCATGCACACATGTCTGGCATGTTTCTTAGGGATCCTGCCTGGTGTTTTCTTTTTCAGAGAAGAAGGTGAGATGATCCGATGCTGAAAGTAGCAGCAGTTAGTGGGGCAAAAAATTTAACAAGAGGATAGAAGGCTGCAGTTGCATTCTGGGGTGGATGAGGAAAGAACTGGGCAAAAGAAACCAGAGAACTGTTTGGTATTGAAGACCAGGTGCGAGTGGAGGCCCTGGATTTAGATCCCTAGTGAATCCTTCATGAAGGGGCTTTTCTCTGTACTAATCAGCTGCCAGGGCATGAGCGTAAGGAGGGTGGACAGTTGGATTCTATTTTTAGGATCTTCAAAATCTGAGGAGCTTCTGGTACTTAGAGAGGAACACTCACCAACATCTGTGCTTTATTTATTGTGTTATCTATTTACTTTAGGAATCTACTTCAGCAAAAATCATCTAACATTTAAATACTATTTATATAACCACCAGATCAAAATGTATACACTTTACAAGTCCAGTTATTTAAACATTCACTATAAACTTAAGTCCTATAGATTTCAACGGAATCTCTAGTCTAATATTTCAGCTTCTCTAAGAGCTTCAAACATTTGGTAAAGCACACACATTATTACATGGATTCTCGTATGTATGACATTTGCATTTAAATCCATTTGTAAAAAGAACTTTGTAGACTTTAGAAATGCACATTATTTCACTTCAGACAATTTAAAAATGTAAATATGCAAAAGAACATTGTTTCATTGCAGATGAAGTTTGAGATTATTAATCAACAAATTCTTGGTTGAGACCTGGGAGCTAGTTTACTGTCAAAGATGGTAAAAACCCGAGCTGATATTTAGCTTGTATATCACTGGCATTTGGAAGCTCTACATTTTCTATGCATTTAGTGTATTTTCTCCACATTATGTCATCTTTAATTTAATAACTATGATAAGCAGATGCCCCAAAGAAGTCCACGTCTCAATCCCTGGAACCTACAAATATGTTACATTACATGGCAAAAGGAACTTTGTTAGCTTGAGGATGGAGAGGGCTAGGACTGTAGTCCTACAACCATTTGAAAGTGGATTCTTCTCTAGTAAGGAAGGCATCTTTCCTTATATCCTGTTGTGAATCCCTAAGCAGAGAATCCAGTCATGCTCGAGGGGACTTCTGACCTATAGAAACTATGAGATAATAAATACATCATAGTTTTGGGGTTGGCAGGTGGTGTGGTGGTTAAAGGCAATGGATTCCCATATGGCCAACTGAGGTTCAAGTCCCAGACCTGGCGGCTTATTTTGTTTTCCTTCTCTCTCTCTGTCTGGTCAAATTAAAAGAAAATAATGATAATAATAACAAATGGAATTAAATAAAAATTCTTTAAAAAATAGATATCATTTTAAGCCACTAAATTTGTGGCACTTTGTTAGATGGCAGTAGAAAACTAACACAGACACGTCACTATCGTTATTTAGAAATTGACTTGGTCTATTTGCATTTTGAAAAGCTTCTAGTTGTCTTCCCCAATATCCAATCTCCTTTTCTTCCTGCATGTGTTATAGTCTAATCAGCGAGAAACAAGAGAACATCCAGACATAGCCAGATTATAGGGGTTCTTTATTAATAGGCCGGCGACTGCGAGAGGACTCATGTCTCTCAAAGATTCCGCAGCTCCGAGTGTAAAAAAAAAAACTTACCAAAGCAAAAACCACATTTGGGTTGATGTGACAGGAGCAGTAGTTGAGGAGGGGAAGGTGACAATGGGAAGGAGTGACTTGCACAAGCATTTGTACAGAAGTAAAATAAAGCACTGTTACCTGGAGCATCTTTAGGGTGGGAACTTTTCTAGTCCTGACATTAACACAATGGAATCGTAATGGTCTTCACGGTTCAGGGCAAGGAGTCTGGCAATTATTATCTGGCTAAGGAACACCTTAAGGTCGGGAGTTTTGGGTTATTTAGCAAAGACAGTAGGAACGTTAATCACTCTGTTTACGCTAGGCAAAAGAAGAAAGCAAGTTTCCAATATAGAGAGGAGTTCAAAATGGAGGCGCTCCTGCTTCGCATGTCAGCTGGACATGGCTGCCTAGAATTAAGACTATATTTCTGGCCTCTCTCCCAGGGTGGGTGGGTTGAAGGGTGACTAAATTCCAGCTAGTGAGATGTAATCAGAAATGTTGGGTGCACCTTTTAGAAAGCTTTTATTTTTTTTTCTTTATTTTTTTTTTTACCCTGCTCACCAGAGAGAGACAGAGGGAGGGAAAGTGAGAAGTCATACCCTAGCGGGGAGGACCAGGCTGCAATCCCTTCTTCTGCAATTCCTCTCCATTCTCCTCTCAGGATTTTGGGCACACACACACACATGCCCTGCGTGATTTTCAAGCAGACGGATCTGAGACTCAGATTGCAGTAGCCATCTGGAATTCCAGCGCCTTAACCGCCATGCTACTTGCTGGCCTCCAGAAAGCATTTTTAAAGGGAAAGGATGTGTTTTTTCCTTCCTCCTTCCTGGGGCTGTTAGGCTGATGTAATAGCTAGAGCTTAAGGAGCCATCTAGGATCATCGGGGTGCATCTGAAAGATGGGTGCATAGCAAGAAGGGACATTGAGCTTTGAAGATCAAAAAGCTGCCATCAGGGCCAGCTGGTATGTGGTGGCTGGGGTGGATGGATCCCATATGGCTGACAGTGTGGTTTGAATCCCAGATTCGGCCCCCTGAGAAGCATGCCAGGTGCATGTGCGTGTGTGCCCAAAATCTCGACAGGAGAATGGGGGAGAGGAGATTGCAGTGTGGTCATTCTCCCAGAGGGTGCTTTCTTGCTTTCCTTCTCTCTCTCTCTCTCTGGTGAGTGCATGTGCCCTCTAGCAAATAAAAAATAAAAATAAAAAACTGCCTTTACCTGTATTTGCAGATTCTTCTATGTGAGACAGAAAGAATTACCTACATTGTTTAAGCTATTCTTGAGTTTTACTGTTACAGTGGGACTCAATCTTAACATTTTGCCTTATTAACATCTTGGAATCAGTAGGGTAATAGATAGGTTCCATTTTCCAGGAGAAAATGAATGACCACGTTTGAGAAGTACGTGTTGCCTTTTGGACATTTGACTAATTCAACATCTTGTAACACACTGACTGACTTTCTTTCTAGTCACAAAGTATGACTAGATGGAGCTGCTCAGTCTCCCATTCTTGGTACAGTTCCAACTTTTTCTGGAATTGTTCACAGTTATTTATATCCAACTATCCCTATTTATACAGATAAAGAAAAAGAAATGTAGCTTATACACAGATAAACACTTAATATATTTATGCTCTTTTATTTAACTAGAATATCCTGTTATATTCCTTCCTCTTTGCTCAGTATATTCATTACCTTTCTGCATACTTTCTAGTGACTTTTTTTCTCTTATGTTATACATTTTTTGAAGACCTCTGGTATTTTTTTTCCTTTGAAGTTTATTCATTTATTTTTTTTCCATGACAGAGAGGGAGAGAAAGAGAGAGTCGCTCCCAACAGAATCTTCATGCCCTGTTCCATCTCCAGCCTCAGCCCACCTGAATCATGGGTATTAGTATACAGAGAACCTTGGGGAGGTCCTGGGATGAGAATCCAATACCTTCCCATGTGGGTCCAGTTCTGTTACTACTATACCACTGCGACACAACTTGGCCTCAACTTTTCTTTTTTTAATTTTTTACTTAAATTGCCAGAGGGTGTATGTTCTTGCCAGAGAAAGAGAGAGGGAGAAACAGAAAGCATCTCCTAGTGGGGCATGGTCATGCCTCAAACCCTTCTCATTTCTTCATGCTGCCAGGACTTGGAGCACACACGCATACATGCCTGGCATGTTTTTCAAGCTTCCGGGCTGGGATTTTAGCTGCAGCCAGCCATGTGGGACCTGGCTCCCTTAACCACCAGGATACAGGCTGACCTGACTTTTTCCTTTCTGAATTTCATTATAGATTCATAGATTTAAGAAGTTCACCACCTTGTTTCTATTCCCTGCTATTTTCCTTGTGATGGCCGCATTGCCAGAATATGGCAAGTGGGAGTGTCTTTACCTGCTGTGTACTAGAAGCAGGATCAAACTGCAATGACATCTTCTTTCTTCAGTGATTCTACAGTGTCTCTCTGACCACCATTCTCTAGTTACTTTATTGGTGGATTCATCCATGCTGGGATAAGAAAGTGAAAGAGAGTTTAAGATACTGGTAGGAGAGTGGTTGAAGAAATGAATTATGGAAGCCCAGGTAACAGAAAGCTTAAGAAGAAGACTGCATGGATTAGGATTAAAAAGACAGGTGGTGAGGACGGGCTGGAACAGGTGGAGGGAAGGTAACAGAGAGCTGGGAGGAGGAAGGTGACAATCTGAGTATGGAGTGATCGAAGAACAGACTTCAAAGAGAACAGTTCGGAAAGTGGCCAAGTAAGAGGATGCATGGTCACCAATGTGTCCCATGGTCCACGTGTGACCTTCTACCTCCACCTCCAGCTCTCCACGCCCGTTTTTGGCCAGAACAAACACACACACCCAGTCTTGTGGGAGCTGAGGGCCAGAGTCCTTCTGGGACCTGCCGCAGATGGCCGGTCAGGATGCCTGCTTGCAGCTGCCCTGGTAAATCCCCAGAATGTGTACCACGTTCAGCTAGGCGCATGTCCCCTCGCTGCCGCACCAGCCACAGGCTCCGGACTGCTCTATGTCCCTCCCCACACTTCTATTTGTGGCTGAACCTCTTGTTCCGGCCCAAATGGTGCTGGCTCAGCTTCTAATGGTGCTGGCCCAGATCCACCATGCTGGCACTTCTCACAGGAAAGAGCCTGCAGGGTACGCTGAGGCTGGTCCATCTGGGCCCCTGTGGGGGCCTGACAGGCTTACCTGTGCCACCTGTCCCCAAATAGCACTGAGCAGGAAGCTGGGATGAGGAAACAGGAGGAGCAGAGACTGCAAAACAGTGCAGGCTCTCTAACTACCACACTTTGCCTTGATCCTAGGGCCGCAGGCCTGACGAGAAGCAGTGGGAGGTTGGAGGGGCAAGTGGGACGGGATAGGGGGTGAGAAGGACCGGGTCCAGAGAATGCCACAGCTCTGCTCGTCTCTGCTCTCAGCCTTGGGTGCTTAGCACAGGATCCCATGCAAGGAGGTGGGATACATACAGCCTGAGGGAGCCTCTCTCCTGCTCTAAAGATGCTGTTTCTGGGATAGAAGAGGGCCGAAAGCAGCGGTCAGGGGTTGGATTCCAGTTCTCATAAGGCCTGGGCCCTTAGAGGGGGAAGATGAGGAAGCCAGAGAAGCTTGAGTATTTCCAGCCACCCAGCAGATTCCCCCGACGCAGACGCAGGGACACCCGGTCCCCGGGGTCCAGGGGCAGCAGCACAGAACTGGTGGCTGCCTCCCGGGTCACATCGGGGTCGTTGGCAAAAGCTGAGATGACAGGCCATGTGTTCAGCATCAGGCTTACCTGGAGAGGGAGGCCCTGTTAGCACCCGTCCCCCAGCGCTCAGCTCAGAACCCCCACTTTACCAAGGGTTCCTCTAAGGACCTGGGGCTTGACGGACTCCCTGGAGGGCCGAGGGGCAGCCAGCATCTGATTTGCGTGTTCTCCACACTCTGCTGGGCAATGTCTTTCTTTCCTTGCTCCTGGCTCCAGGACAAGGTCAGCAGAGTGTCTTCCCAGGGGTCTGCTGCCCCCGCCCCCCGCCGCCCTCCCCTCCTGAACTGAGGATGGGCCTCAGCACTCAGATTACCTGGACGGTTTGGCGGTTGTACACCTTCACTATATGGAACCGGAAGCTGTAGACGCCCCGGACAGGGGCCACGAAGGAGCCTGAGGCCCGGTCAAAGCCTCCACCCTCGTTCACCAGGACCTAGGGGAGGGAAGCAGACTCTGATGAGAGGCTTCAGGGGCGGCCTGAGGCTTAGGGGCACCACTGGGCCAGGGGCAGGGCAGTGAGTAAGGAAGGAAGGGGTCACATGCGGGAGGCAACAGGAGTGTGTGGAGAAAGGAGATGTGAGGTGGGGCGGGAGGGTGTGTGGATGAGGGAGATGTGGACAGCAAAGTGGGCTTGGGCATTTGATCCAGGTCCTTGCAGGGTCCTTCCAGGTTCCCTTAACAGGGGACAGGGGATTACCTGGTCGAAGTAGATGGCCCCGTTAGTGCCGTTGCCCGTTTCCCCTGCTGGCTCATGGTGGTGGCTTCGGACTGCAGCAAATGCCACTCTTCCTGGGGGTGCCTCTCCCAGGGCTGCTCCCCCAGGCCCCCCTGCAGCCGCTCGACCAGGCTCACAGACGACCAGACACTCTCCCTCCAGCAGGACTGGCTCTGATCCTTCTTGGGCCCACGCGACCTCAAGGGTCAGAAGTGCCAGGGCCAGGGGCAGCACTAGGTTCTGTGGGGAACCTGAGAGCCGGTGTCGCTTTACTCCCAACATGACCGAGTGGCTCTGAGACCCTCCAGTACCCTGTCTCCTGCCCCTTCCTGCACCTTTCCGTTTTCTCTTCTTCCTGCCTCTCCCCAGCCTCACCCTGCCCCTCTGCCCTGTCTAGGTCTTACAGTCACCTGGTCCGGGCGCCTCCTGCTCCATACCTCTCTGTGTCCTAGGGCTCTGTCCTGCCTCCCACTCGGTTACTCCTGCTGTCACCGCAGTTCCCTCCTCCTTGGCAGAGCATGGAGTGACAGCAGTTGGGCTCTGGGAGGGAGAGGCGGGGTGAAGCCACCTGCGGGGTAGTAGAGCTCCCGCCTGCGCCCCAGGGCAACCCCTCTGGATAGGACAGACGGGACCTGGCGGATGGAGAACATGTGTGCGCGCGTGTGCCCGCGGGAGCTCCACAGCCCCTCATCCTCCTTCTCTCCTCCTCAAAATCCCTCACAAATCAGTCTTTCTCCGTGGTGGCATCTTTCCATTTGTCGGAAGACCAGTGTCCCTGTCGGTTTCCCACGATTGTTTTGGTGGGAAGTGCTTGGACAGCGGGCGTCACTGTATTGTGACTTTGGGCTACTTTTCCTGTTTGGTCTTCATCTTCATTCAAAGCTACTAACTTTCAACGAATGATTCCTCTTTCCTAAAAACCAACTGCGCAGAACGCGCAAGAACCCCGGAACACGAGACCAGCCGGGGAACGGGCGGGGAGCGTATGAGCCTGGGGCCTGCGGGCGAGTGGCGGGGCGGGGCTGCGGAGCCGGGCGCCGGCCGGGGGCGGGGGCGAGCGGGGTGCAAGCCCAGCCCAGCCCCGGGAGGA